TGTGTGTGTGTGCGCGTGTGCGTGTGTGCGCACTGCCTGCGTGCCTGTTTCACTGATTGGCAGCCATGCCTGTGGCTGGCAACTACCTTGGTTGCACTGGAACACAGCCCCCCATGAAATTAAGAAGCAGTTCCAGCGGCCATTATCATGATGACGCGACACACTCTCTCCCTTCGGGCACCCCTAGATGATACCTGGTTGGTTAAGAAATGCAGCAGGGGAATGGGAGAAGCCATCGCCATAATCCCTGCTTTCTTTTGAAGGCCACGGCTCTTGCCCGGGTTCACTATAATAATACGACACTACATACAAACAAAGGTATCTATCGTACGTATACTTGTAAGTCATTGGTCTTTCTTTTATATTATTAATTAGTAGTAGCTCCACGTAAAGTCTCTGAGGATCCTACACAGACATGTGTTGGTTTCCTGCGGATTGCCGTCTAATTGAATTTAAAACTTTTTAGTTACTATTAGTTACGATCTAGAAATTAAATTCATTCTTTCTATTCGAGGAGTTTCCCTTGGGACCTTGGGTGGATTATTTGGCATGTGGTCGCAATTTCAGATTACTGTTCATGACCCCATGTCTGCTGGGCGAGAGGAAAAGATCGGAACCTACTCAGCTGGGCACCCGTGTGAGCTCCGCTGAGCAGAGGTCTTAAATTACCAGCAGGGGAACTCCCATATAAGGCTCTGAGATAGTAGCGTACTGGGCTGGCTGCATGCTCAGTGTAAGAAAGGGAGACCCACGCCCATACAGAGCTGTGCTGGAAGGAGGAATGTCGAGGGATTTGAACCCGCGCAATTGCGGATATTTTTTTTCCTTCTTTTTTAATTTTCTTTTTCTTGCATCTACTAACTTTACCTTTTTTCTTTGGCTCGATAGGATTCGAACTTTGGCATGTGGGTTGCAGATGGTCTTCAAACCACCGACAAGTTTGAACTCATTCTTATTTTACCGTGTTTTTTTCTTTTCTTTTCTTTTTCTTTCTTGTTTTTTTGTAACCACCGTTACCTTTCCCATATGTCGGTCGCGGGCATCGAGTAGCCTACTCCTGAAAAATAGCCGCCACGCCGCCGTCGATATTTTTCATCGACGGCGCATGGCGGCCGAATTTGAATTTGAGGCCCTCGGCACCACATATGAGAAAGGTAGTGGTGGTTTAAGCCCAGGTTGTTGTAGAGGCAGGATTTCTAGGCATATGACAGGCACCTTCGGCACTTGGCCATGTGGTATTCCTACGGGACTCCCTTCCAACCTACCACTTCCGTATTTTCCCCCAGCGCACCTCTACTCCCACGATCCTACCTTAAGGAACATCACCTTACAGTCTGTTTCAGACACAGGTGACCTGAACGGACAGTGGTTGCGGATACCGGGACTAAGCAGAGACCTGCTTACTCTACCCAATCCTGATCGAAGCATGGTCGTACGAGCCTTGCCGCACGGCTACATCAGGCGCTAGGTGTAGTCATATCTCTACAGGTCCCATAGGTGCGTTGTTCACTGAGTACATTGTCGTCATTACTGCGGTGCTCTGTCTCCGTTCCCTCGTTTATCCCTGGAGCCCGTTCCAGCCCTGCGGTACGTCGCAGAATATCCTGACACCCCCGACATCCCGTACTAAGGAACTGCTATGCCAGCCTCAACCCTAATCTGCTTACTAGGAGGGTAGCCAACCCTGAGTCATGAATCATGGACTGAATCTATTGACCTATGTTGTATTGCTGCAGTTTTCTGTTGTGTGATGGTAGAGAGATATGGGGATCCTCCGTTCCCTCGTATATCCCTGGAGTCCGTTCCGACCCCACGGTAAGGTGCAGTATCTCCTGACACCCCCGACATCCCGTACTAAGGAACTGATATGCCAGTCTCAACCCTGAATCCTCTGTTCCCTCGTGTCTCCCTGGAGCATCCCGTACTAAGGAACTGCTATGCCAGCCTCAACCCTGAGCTACGTACTAGGAGGATGACCAGCCCCGAACACAGGACCTCATGTGAATCGGGCAAATGACCTAACCTGTTGACCAACGTTGTGAAATAGTCTGTATATAGGTGCTCTGCTGGGCTCAAGTAAACAAGATCGTACAAATCACCCAGCAGTCTCGAGACTACCCCATAGACCAAGAGCACCGGGACACCCCCCATCGCCCCGCCCCAGCATACAACAACCACGGGCTAACCCCTTGGGTGGTGCGCAGGTAGTGCCTGTAATCCTTCGCATGTTTTTGCTGCAGATACATGCTCCATTTTGCAGATTCCAGGGGTGGTGTGGCGAGGCCATAAGTCCTTTATCCTGCTCGTATTGAAACATGAACCGAGGAGTTCAACACGAGTGCAACCCAATGGGTGCTCGCTCTCGAGGCTCAAGAGACCCGAGTGGTCAAACCACCCACCCACACCCCCTTCCCCCTCTAAATTGTGGGGAGGATTTAACCTCCGCACTATGATCTACTGGGGGATAGATGGGTGTGAGCGTGTCAGTAAGGGCATGGACCGCACTCCGCACGCTCTACTGTGAGAGGCTAGACTGTGGGCAAGCCTGTGGCGGCCCAAAAGGTGTAAAGCAGCGCTACGAGCCTACGAGGCAAGGCGGGGTCTCAAACCCGTCTCCTCGCACACAGCCCTTGGGACATCTGTTAAAATTGGAGCGATACATAAGACGTCCCTTTTTGTGATGGCTACACATGCCAGCGCAAGGGGGGTACATATTTTCTTCCTGCTCTCTTTGGACTGAGAGCAAATTGAACGGACTGCCCAAAAAAGTGAAATTACAATTGTTTTTTTACCACAGTATATTTTTCTCTGAAAACCTTTCGCCTTGCACTACCTACCTACTCCTAAAGGCTATACCGAGGGGACCCCTGCTAGCATGTTGCTCCTTGCCCTAGTGGTTAAGGGTGAAGGGTCGGCGCCGCCGGTGGGGGTTCGGTTA